AGGGCGTACGAATTGAGACAAAAAATATCTGCTGCTCGACAAAACGGAACGACTGTCTCAACTTACTACACCAATCTGAGGTCCTTATGGGATGAGGCGTCGTCGATCTTGCCACTTCCGGTGTGCACCTGCAAGAATTGTACCTGCGAAAACGGGAAAAGGATCCTAGAGTACCAAGAAAAGGAGCGCCTTTATCAATTTCTAATGGGGCTCGACTCTGATTTCAACGTAATTAGAACCCAGACTCTAGCGACCAAACCGATTCCATCCTTGGGAGCGGTGTACCACCTGGTTGCAGAGGACGAGAGACAGAGATCTATTTCCGGTGAAAGCAGATCGGCGTCGGAGGCTGCAGCATTCAAGACCAGTCATGGGAAAAATCCGACTTTCAATCAGAAGAACAACTGGAAGATCCAGAAAGAGAAGAAGGAGAACGATTACTGTACTCATTGTAATCGCTCAGGGCATAAACGCGATGGTTGTTTTAAACTGGTGGGCTACCCAGACTGGTGGCCCAACAAGAAGACTGAAAAAGGGAAGTCCACGGTTGCATTTGCAGATACAGACTCTAGCCCAATCCCAGATTTAACAAAAGACCAATATCAAATGTTTGTGCGCCATTTTGCAAACGACGAAAAAGAAACTCCGGTACGAAGTGCGAACATGGCAGGTAAATCAAGTAATGAAGAGGACTGGGTCATCGATTCAGGTTGTACTGAGCATATAGCTTATATTCCTAGTCTTCTTAAAAATAAAACCAACACTCCTTTTGAATCACCAGTGGTCATACCCAATGGTGATTCTATTCCTGTCAAAGGCAAAGGTGAAAGTATACTCCCAGGGGGAGTAAAATTAGATGGAGTTCTTTGTGTACCGGATTTCAAATGCAACTTACTTTCGGTAAGTCGCATGACAAAAGACCTACAGTGTGCTATAACCTTTTTTCCCGACTTTTGTGTCATGCAGGCCCTCTACAAGAAGAACTTGATTGGAGCGGGTAGACGGGAAGGGGGGCTTTACCGGATGAGGTCAAATAAAGATAGATGAGCTATGTCGACAACTACAAGAACTTGGCACAAAAGGTTAGGCCATGCCTCGAAGGGAAAGCTTTCAAATGTTGATTTTCTTAAAAGTAGTTCAATTGAATTTTGCAATAAGACTTGTGATTCGTGTGCCAGAGCCAAACTTATAATAACCCATTTCCCGTTAGTAATAATAAAAGTAAATTTGCATTTGATCTTATACACTGTGACATATGGGGTGGTTATCGTGTACCGTCTTACACAAAGGCAAATTATTTTCTCACAATTATTGATGATCATAGTAGAGCAGTATGGGTTTTTCTCACAAAACACAAAAACGAAGCAAGTAAATGTCTTATTGATTTTCATAAAATGGTTAAGAATCAATTTGAGAAAAACATTAAGAAAATTAGATGCGATAATGGCAGAGAATTTACTTCAAATTTAATGCGCGATTTTTATAGTAAAGAAGGGATTTTATTAGAGACTTCATGCCCTCACACGCCTCAACAAAATGGCGTTGTTGAGAGAAAACATCGTCATCTGCTTGAAACAGCTAGAGCTATCCGTTTTCAAGCAAGCATACCAAAAAGATTTTGGGGAGAATGCATTTTGACAGCAGCCTACATAATCAATCGGCTCCTATCAAAGGTAATAGACAACAAAACTCCCTATGAATTAATTTGGAACGAGAAACCAAAATATGATCACATGAAAATTTTTGGATGTTTGACTTATCACAAAAACATGAACACTAAAGGTGATAAATTTGAAGAAAGAGGGAAACCGGGTATTTTCTTAGGCTACCCCTCGGGAACAAAAGGTTACAAAATTTTTGATATAAAAGAAAAGAAAATAGTCATTAGCCGAGATGTTATATTTCGTGAAAATATATTCCCATTCAAAGAAATAATTGTAGAAAATGACGAGCTGGATGAAATTCCATCTAAGGTTTTTGATGACATGACCCACGATCATGAAACCCAAATATTTGATGGTGGGTCCGCTGAAACAATTAATGAGCCCACTGAATTTTTAGCCCAAAGTGATCAGACTTCCGCTAGTGATTCAATTAATACCGAGAGCCCAAGCGCCGTTTTTGGGAGTCCACCTCAAACCGATGTGGACAATGATTCTGGTCCAGTGAATAATGATGGCCCAATGTTTCAGCCTGTCACGAGTCCGACTGAACAGCCAATCCATCAACCTTATTTTGATGACCTCGTTGAACCACAAAATTCAGAAAATCGAACTCGGAGCACTCGCACAAAATTTCAGCCTGCCAAATTTAAAGATTTTCTAGTAAAGCTACCCCCTTCCGTCAGTCACGATGCACCCGATTCCAATCAAGAAACTTCTACGGTACACCTTATTTCCAATTTCGTGTCTTATAATAATTTTACTCACAATCACAAAGATTTTTTAGTGGCCATTACTTCACATAGTGAGCCAACATCTTTTAGTCAGGCTTCAAAGGATGAGAAATGGCGTGTTGCAATGAAAAATGAAGTAACGGCTCTTGAACAAAATGACACATGGGAGATAATGTTGTTGCCAGAAGGAAAACGAGCCATAGATTCGAAATGGATCTATAAAATAAAATTCAAACCCGATGGCACTGTGGAAAGGTATAAAGCTAGACTTGTGGCGAAAGGTTTTACTCAAATGGAGGGTGTTGACTATCATGATACGTTTGCTCCAGTGGCGAAGCTTGTCACCGTTCGTACACTTTTAGCAGTGGCAGTCAAGAAGAACTGGTTCATTCACCAGTTAGATGTCAACAATGCCTTTTTGCACGGCGATTTGGAGGAAGAAGTGTACATGAAGATTCCTGAGGGAATTTCAGTTAAAGGTGATGATCGGGTCTGTCGCCTTAAAAAGTCTATTTATGGGCTCAAACAGGCTTCAAGAAATTGGTACCATAAGCTTACCAAGTTTCTTCTTAGCCTTGACTTTATGCAATCCAAAGCAGATCACTCCTTGTTCTTATGGAATAAAAATGGTGTTTATTTAGCTCTGTTGGTGTATGTTGATGATGTTATCCTTGTGGGGAATGATCTACAACAAATTCAACGAACAAAAGACTTGTTGCATGAAGCTTTTACTATAAAAGATCTAGGAGAGTTGAAATACTTTCTTGGAATTGAAGTGACACGAATGAAAGATGGGTTAGTTTTAAGTCAAAGAAAGTATGTCTTAGATATTCTTAAAGACAGCGGGATGTTAGGATGCAAGCCAAGCTCTTTTCCCATTGAGCAAAATTTGAAGCTTGATAAAGGAGAAAAGGAAAAACCAGTGGATGCTACTCAGTATAGACGTCTTGTTGGAAGATTACTATATCTTCAGGCTACTCGTCCAGATGTTACCTATTCAGTTAATGTCATCAGTCAGTTTGTTTCAGATCCAAGGCAAAACCACTTGGATGCCTTAACAAGGGTCTTGCGTTACTTAAAGGGAACAACGGGGCAAGGTGTTCTCTTGCCTAAAAGCGGTGATCTCAGTCTAACAGCCTTTTGTGATTCAGATTGGTTGGGATGTCCTTATACTAGGCGTTCGAGGACTGGGTACTTCATAATGTTTGGAGGTGCACCGGTTTCGTGGAAGACTAAGAAGCAATCTGTTGTTTCTCGCTCATCGGCTGAGGCTGAATATCGTGCCATGGCATCTACTGTGAGTGAAATTCTTTGGCTTCGTTGGTTACTTCAAGATCTTCGAGTCAACATACAAGACTCGACTCCTTTGTTTTGTGATAACCAGGCGGCTAGGCATATAGCAAATAATCCAGTGTTTCATGAACGCACCAAACACGTGGAGATGGATTGTTTTTTTGTTCGAGAAAGAGTTCTTTCAAAAGAAATCATCCCTATGAAGATCGACAGCAGACAACAAGTGGCCGACATTTTAACTAAAGGACTTGGAGCTCAACATCTTCTCTACCTACTTGGCAAGATGGGCATCATTAATTTACATGCTCCATCTTGAGGGGGAGTATTAGATAATATTTAATTTATGTTTAAAATTTAAGTTTCTTGATAACTTTTATCATGTTGAGCTAGATAGATTAGATTAGCTTTATCCGTTTTCTTTTCCTATAGTTTAGGAACTTTGTATCTTTTTAATCCCATTATGGGATCTGTCGATAAAGAGAAGAAAACAACAATTCAATACCATCAAATTTATGATGCTGCGATTAACTTTTTTAATTGGTTCGTTTTTAAATTTCGTAAACTAAAAGTTAGTTGGGTCGGGTGGACGCAAAACCTCTAATGTTTATTACTTTGTAATGTTCGTAGCTTATCCCTAGTTTTTTGTTTATATAATATTTAGCCGTTCAAAAAAAAATTATGAGAAAATATTGTTGAGAAACAATCAAAAAGTTACAACTTATCGTAATCGTTTTTTTATTCTTAGGACATTCATTCCCAATAACTTCTTTTTTCGAAAATGATTTTGGGAAACAACCATATTTTCCAACTATTTATAACATTTTTTTTTCAAAAATTCCAATATTTAAACAATTTTCATATTTTCGAAATATATATTTTTTTCTCTCTATCAAATTTTAGTTGTTACTTTTTCTCTTTTCTATTTTCTCCTATCTATTATATATTTCAATGTGTATCTACCATGAACAATGATATTAACTAGTACTGGTTCGAAAATTATAAACGAGTTTAAAACTCAATCCAAAAAGACGAAGAAAATTTTCGAAATTAGTAACATACGTTATGAAATTTGGTTATTGGTGTAAATTATCTTTTACTTTTTGTAGACCTACCTTGTTAGTCATTCACCGCAACATATTTTACATAAGTTCACGATTATGTTCCTTGAAAAATAAATAAAAGTCAAACGCATCCCCATAATTATCTTTTTTTTTTCTCGTATAAAAACAAAACAAAAGAAAAAATAATTAAACAAAACAAACTGATAAATTTAAACCCACATGACGAAACAAATCTGGCAACTTATAGCGACTCATAATTGAGATCTTCTAGCCGATGCCCCAAAACGTGCTCGCTGGATATTACTCCGGCGTTTCATGTACACAACAGTAGCAAACCCCATTAAACCAGCACCGGCCAAAACCCCAAGAGTTATCCCCGCCTTCTGTCCCCCGCTCAGTCCAGAAGACCCTCCACCATTATCCTTTGTCGGCACACCACCACCGCCTCCACCGCCTCCGCCTCCGCCAGTCGAAGGTGGTGGAACGACTGGCGGTGGTGGGATTGGTGCCGGAGGAAATGGTACTGGTCCTTGTGAAGGAGCCGAACCAGGTGCAAATCGCCACCAGTATGGAATTGGAGAGGGTGCAGGTGCTGGTGATATGGCCTGGAGTATTCTCGCAGAAACAAAAAGAACTAGAATGAAAAGGGGAAATGCTTGAAATTGTTTTGCCATTGTTGTATGTAAATGTAGTGTTACAAAATTAATCTCAAACGTGTTTTTTATATAAAAAAGATGTGATAAAAACTATGGTTTTGGCGACAAGAAAACAAAATGACAGGTAAATAGAATGGATTGGATAACCCGTCAAACAACACATAACAACAAAAACATAATACAATGTTTATATGTCGACAGGCTGAAAGATCATATATAAATATCCTATAAAGCTTTGACATTTTACACAAGTCAAAACGTAGTAAAAAAAAAAAAAAAAAAAAAAAAAAAAAAAAAAAAAAACTGAAAATTTGACTTTCGAACTTTGACCACTACATTATTCGATTTTGGTAGCAACATATGCTAATTTTTGAAGTTAGAAGATATGGAACCTCATAAATCATAATTCATCCTTCAGATCTTGATTGCTACTTTCCTGTGTTGACTCGGGTTTCTGAGTCGACTCAGGTTTCTGGAGCTTGAAAGGGATAGCCGCGTGTTGCTTGAGAAACTTGTAGAAGGCTTTCACTGTTCTATCTGTATCAACTGTGATCTGCAAAACCCATGTTAAAATTTTTAATGAAAGAGTAGAAAAAAGAGAGTTTTTTAAAAAAATTGTGGATTTTGTTAGTTGTTTAACGGATACTTACCGGGTCAAAACTCTTATTGCCAGCGGGGAAGAAAAGAAGTGTCGGGAATCCATCAGACTGGAAAAGGACAAAGTGTAAAACATCAAGACCGTAAAAATCATGAAATACTACGGAATGGAATCACGAATTCCAATTCCATTAAAAGTACCTTGGCACGAGGGTGTTCATTTGTGGTGCCATCCATTTTGGCTATAACAAGGGAATCAATCCCTCTAAGATGTTTTGCAAGTTTATTGTATGTTGGTTCGAGTGCTTGGCAATGGCCACACCATGACGCGTATATCTAATATGAAAAAAAAAAATGTAAATTATTTCATCATAATCATAATCATTATTATTATTATTATTTTTATCTTTTTAATGGTTTGACCAAAAAAAACGTACCTCTAGAAGAACATCCTTTGACTCGTCTAAAACTATTTCATCGAAGTTATTACCAACAACTATTTTTACATCCTCATCATTCTGGAATAAACAACATGAAGAAAGTTACAATTAAGAACATGACTTAATCTGGTAAGCTATAAATGGATGTTTCCTTTTTACTGATGCAGAAAGAACAACTTAATGAAGAAAGTCAGAGAAATCGAGCTTTCCTTATTAAGTCCTAACTTTCTTACAAATTGGCCCTCCATTTTTTTTAACTTTTATTGTCATTTTGAATTATTTTGTTAAACATCATTTATTCAGACAACATTTTATCCATACAGATAGAAATACTCACAGTCTCTGGGATTGGATCCGACTTGTAGAAGGGCTTGAGGTTGTCTTCTAGGAAATTTTCACCAAATGACTATAAGAAAACACATAGCAAGCAGTGTTTGTTATCTTTCATTTGTTTTTCTAATTTACATAAATCAATAACAACATGATCAAATGTTATGTTGCAAAGTGCAAACCTTGATGTTGTTCAAAGTCAACTCTCCTTCCAAAAAGAACTTTCTGGAATCTTCATTTCCAGTGAACGCTATAACCCTGAATAAAAATGATGTCATGACATGATCATGTTTTAAAGGAAGTGAGGTGGAGAATGCATGATGATGATGATGATGATGATGGAAATACTCACTTTTGGAGCACTTCCTTCAATGCCAAAGTATTCTGCAACTGGTTTACCAGCATCTTCTTCGTCCATTGGAACGTATACAAAAAGAGCCTGTGTAAACAACCGAAGAATAAATGTAAGATTTGAACAAAAATGAAAAACATTATAGTATTGAAGCTTCAAGTCCATGTGATTAAATAAAGAGAGAACATGCTTAGAATGAGAGACCATAAGAGTTCATTGCAGCAAAGAGAAGTTTTCTTTTTTCATTTATGCAAGAATGATGGTTTCTTTACAACTAAATGCCAGGTTGTACATAGGTTCAGAAAGTAAAACAACTTTTTTCTCTTCAACGAATAGAATACACTAACCTTTCCCATAAAATATTTTGCTGCTTCTTGGAATATAGGAAGGTACTTCTCGGTTTCATTCAAAGTAGTAAAAAGAATCACCTGTCAAAGAACAAGATGTAAAACATATAAAAATTAAGCACCCTTTTGTTAGAATCAATAATCACATAAAAAGTTATGAATATAATCATATATAGTATTTGGTAGCACATACAAAGAAGGGTGATACCATTTATAAGCAAAAATTCTACCTGATTCTTGATTGGGTTCTCAAATACTTGTGAAGAACTTGCACGAGTGAAGTAAATCACAAGAGGGAGCTTGTTCTTTGAGACAAACTCTGTTATTGCGGAATTTACAAACTGACCCCCTGTAGTTTACATATTGGTTAAGATTTTGCAGGAAGTTTAGCGACTTGGAGAAGAAAAAATGGTAAGAAAACGAACCAAAGTGGCTAACTTTCTCGTCTTCCTTCTTTACCAATACCAAAGCTGGTCGTTTCCCTTTTGGGTCAATGTGGAAAAGCTTTGCCACATCAGCACTGGAAGTTTGGTAGAAGCTTACTTCATCTTCTTGTTTTGAAGCTGCAGCAAGTTCTTCACTATCTGGACCCTACACAAAAACAAAATTAATGATATGATGCAATGTTACATCTGTGGATATTCGACACAAAGTCGAACCCTTTAATGTTGCATTTACTTTAAGATTGAGGGTGCAACGTTTTAAACTCGCTAATAATTGAAAATTTAAGTGGAAAATTTCAAGTGTAAAAGAAGATGTACCACTAAATTTTCCACAAAGGCCACAACTACTGGTGATTCGCTGGTTAATATGCTTTCAGCTTCCTCGGTTGTGGTCAAATTGTGTAGACCAGGACCAATCTTCTTCTTCACCCAAGTCACAATAGCATCCCTATGAAGAAAGAAAGAAAAAAAGCACAAGAGCAATTATTTCTAAAATTCTACATTTATTTCTTGATAGATATCTTATATTAACCCAATTACAATTCCTCTTTGCTCAATGGATACAAAGCATGCTAGATGTACCAATTGCATTTCCGTTGGTGCTAATTGATCACAGATTTACCCCTCTTCTAATTTCCGTTTATCAAGTTAGGCAGACATGGAACTCCAGATTAGATCACAAATAGAAGTCACAAATGAATTGACTGTTCTTCACAGCAGAATCAAAGCTACAGACTATAATTTTTCAAGAAGATAAAATCAATTCACTACGAGAGAGATAGAGAGAGACTAACTTGTTCCTCGCACCGTTGTAAGGCTTATGAACACCGTCAATAAAGAATAACACAGTAGGATACCCTTCAACATTGTACTTTTGGGCCAGTTCAGTCTCCTCTCCAGCGTCCATCTTCGCCAGCGCTACCTCATCCGCCTTCAACTCCGTCGCCGCCGCCGCATACTCCGGTTTCAGAGCTTGGCAATGCCCACACCACGGCACGTAAAACTCCACCATGGCATACCTATTTTTCTCCAAGAAATCATGGAAATTTGACCCATTTAGCACCACTACATCACTCTCGTCGATCTCAACTTCGGGAGCCGATTCTGAATCTGGGTATTCTCCCTCCCCGTCTCCGAAATCATCCAAATCATCATAGTTCTCGAAATCATGGTCCTCGTAACCGTGAAGGGGTGATTCGGCGGCGTCGTGTTCATCTTCCTCTAGGAAACTAAGATCTTCTTCATCAAGATCATGGGTATCTTTGCAAGAAGTGTTGAAGCAAAGTAGAAGTAGAATTGACAGAGAAAGAAGAAGTGATCTCGTAGCAGCCATTGTAGCCGTTGAGACCTTGAAAACACACAGAGAGAGGGTAGAAGAAATCAAGAAAGTGTTGTAGCTTGTGAATTTGATGTGAATATGTGTACATCTAGCCCTTCGATGATTTTTTCAAAAATTCATTTCAGCCTATTAATTTTAAGAAATATCAGTTGACACCCAAACTTAACATTCCTTCCTTATTTAAGGCAAACTTCGTGTCCCTTGTTAGAAAGTATTTGGTAAAACATTTGATAATGTGTTGGAATATCACGTGCATGTATAAATCGCTAGTAACATAAACCAGAAAAGATGCATAACGTGCAACAACCAATTATTTGAAATATACATCGAATTAAATAAATATGAGGATTTTTACTAAAAAACTTAATTATATTTAAACAATATGGTGGAAAGGCAAGCTTAATAACGAATAGCTATAATGAGAATATGGAATTGAACTAATAAAATAAACACTTAAAATTTATTAAATTGGATGTAAAATGCAGTATATTTTGTTTCCTTATTTTGTGATGACAATCAAAACGTGGGTTAAAATAAACTATAAGTCTTCTCAAGAGCCAGGGACTGAAACTTATATGGTAAAAGTGAGGGGTAAAATGTGCATATTTGGTTCTATACATTTGATGCGAGAAAGTCGGTTGCATTTGCACTTCTTTCGCCGCTTCAGCGTTAAGGTTGATTATTTTTATGTCCGACGTGGCGACTAACGTTTGACCAAAAATGTCCATAGCATGTCCACTATAAATCTTCAACGAATAGGCGTCTGCCACGTTGTCATAGTGAGTCACGATGTCTGTGAGAAACGTTGATTTGACTTCCCGGAGATGGAAGTGGACCTGTCTTTAGGTACTGTTCCAGTTATGATCGTCGTTAAGTCAGCCGGGTGAAGCGTTGTTTAATTCGGTATTTTATGATATTAATTTTTTTAAATAGAAAGAAAATGTAGGATAATGTTTTGTCTCTCGTATATTATTTCAATTTCAACTAAACAAAAATTCAAATAACTGAAAATTACAAAAAAAAAAAAAAATTACAGACAAATAAATGTGCTTAAAGATGTAATTGGCCAGTGGCGGACGCAGAAAGTTTTAATAGGGGTGACATTAAAAAAAAGTTTCCGAAAAAATCTAAATTAGTAGTGACACTCGGGGGAATACGAGAGCATGAAATGAATGGAAGGGGGAAGTTTACATATGTGAAATTTTGTTATTTACATGCTAAAACTTGTGATTACAAGTTTACAACTAAAAGAAGAAAATAATAAATAATAACGGTAAGATCTTATATTAAATATCGTACTTATGTAATACACTTATATATAAGGATCATACAATTTGAGAAAAATCTCAAGCGTGATAGACGCATCTGAAAGAACCTTCGGTGCTCGAAGCCTTAACGTCCGAACTTCAAAAACAAAAACATCAATAGTTCATTTAATATCATAAAAGAAATTACATAAAAACATTAAACCTTATTGTCTTTGTCTCATCACTATGGTGCTTGTTTGTTTTTTTTTCTAAAAAACCACTTCTGACCACTTATTATTGTGTCGCGCAGCACACGCATAACACTTGGCTCTTCGCAGTTGTTTGTTTTCAAAAGGCTTCTGACGTAAAAACTGTTGCGCGTGTGCTGCGTGGCGCAACACTGAACCTTCTGCTTCAAACATCTCCACACCTTACTTTAACTTATTGTAGCAGTCTGCAATAAAAAACAAACTTATTATTGCATGTTGCAGTCAGTGGCGAGGCTATGTATAAGAAAGGTGGGTCCTAGGAACCACCTAATTTTTTAATTTATCTATAATTACTATAGAATTCTTTTAGGGACCTATCTTAAAAAAAAATTAGGATCTACCTTACCTTTAAAAATCTTTAAATTTGTATAAAAAATGTATATAGAAAAATTAGTGAACCATGTGGTTTTCTATTCTAGACTCGTCACTGGTTGCGGTCGTTTGGTCCCCCTCTTTTGCTACAGAGGATTGCAGATGTGGTCCGCAGAGTTCATGCATTTTCGCTTCGAAAAAACAAACAACACCTATTTGTTTTTTCCTATTTTCATTAAGGTGAATCAATTTTTTTTTGTCTTACACGATTATTATCCTAATTATTTTTTGGACTATCTATCTTCGTAGCTCCAACATCTTTTAAGATTCATTAAAGTTACTTAGCTTTTTTTTTCTTAAAGAATTCCAACTCAACTAAACTAAGGTAGGATAAACATACATAGAATGAGGCTCGATAGACGTGGTTGGAGTGATCGGGTTTTATATTGTTTTTACGAGAAAAAAGTTGTTACTGTTTTTCTTATTTTAAAGATATTGTTACCTTAGTTTTAAAGAGCTTATTAACAATGAGGTCGTTTTTCATATATACTTAAAAAACAATTTTAAAATAGAAGTTAAAAATCTTCTTATATTTTCTTCTTACTCATCTCTTATCCATGTTAAATGTTAACATGTGTCATGTTTAATAAATTAATAATATTTTAATATATTTATCACCATTTAACATTAATAAAAAGATAGGTAGGAAGAAAATATATGAATATATTTAATTTCTCATAATATATATATATATATATATATATATATATATATATATATATATATATAGAGAGAGAGAGAGAGAGAGAGATAGGTTCAAGTGTTTAAAATAATTATTGTGTTATTGTATGCATAAATATGGACCAATCATTTTAAAAACCTAGATAGGGGTAAAATTGTAATCTTAGCTTTTAATTTGACTAAACTGCAAAAATGGTCCCTGTGGTTTGCTCAAAATTGCCACTTTGGTCCAAAAAAGTTTGGACTAGCACCAGAGGTCCAAAGTTTTCATTTTGTTGTGAATTTGGTCCAAAGTATTTTGAAAATATATAAAATGACAAATTTACCCTTGGTTTTTTCTTTTTTCAATTTTTTTATTATGTTTAGTTATTAAAATAAATAGAAAATAATATTTAAACTCCCTTCCCCACCACTACTTCGTTATCTGCCTTTTTGTTTTTATCAACTTTATTTATCAAAGCACAACCACCACCATCACCAAGGTTACCGCCGATAGCACAACCACCGCCGCTAAAGCCGATAGAAGGGAGATGAAGAGTAACAGTAGGAGAGGCATAGAGACAGACATAGATTGGAGCTAGAAACTTGAGAAGACAAAGGGTTCCCCTTCTCTCTCTCTCTCTCCCTTCATCGTTGATGATTGGTAAACAGATCTGGAAAATGGAGAAGACGAAGGGTGGCGGATGCATAAGGAAGTCTCTGATGGGGGAATGCGACATTGTCTTCATCTTCTGAGAGGGAGGACAATGCCATCATCTTCTTCAGATAACAGATCTGGATACCACCAGAAACCTCAACAAAGACAAAGATAGTGGCGGTGAATGATTCCATAACTTGAAGCCAGGAAGGGCAGTGAATTAGGGTTTCGACTGAAAGATTTTCAGATCGGAGGGTCACCACTGCGGCTGGAGAACTACAAACGTGAAACCTAAAGTGAGAAGGTGTGACATCCCCATTTTCACGGCCAGAAAAGACCGATTTTGTTTATGCTTTATAAAAACCAGAGTACTTCTTTTGATAAAAATGTTGCGGAATTTGTTCCCAGTAAAACATGATAAGTACGTTATCAAAGCATTTCTGAAGAAATGTATTTTTATTCATTTTAAAACATTGGGGTGTCATCGTCAATACAGAAACATAAGCATAAACAGAACTTACATTCATTTACACTAGTGATCTACATCTCTTTTAAATCCCTCAGTGTAAAGTAGCTTCATATCGACACCTGTGATACAAATAAGCTTGAGTGGGTCAGGTTGGGAAACCTGGTGAGTACATAGGGTTTTCAACCCACAATAATATAATTATTATGTTAAACATCAAACAATCAACCCAATTACTCATCCCTCATTATCTTCTTTACTCTTAAGGATCTACCCTAAGATTCAGTTATTCCTCGTTCATTCATTTTACTAAGGAGTATCCTAAGGAATCGGCACTAAGTCTGCATAGTCACCAGGGTTTATCTCGTTTATTGACAACATCGTTTTTAAGAGTCCACTCGTAATACCTGTCAATGGGTTTTTAGAGTACACCGGGTGAACACATCGTTCACAACACCTACAGGTTGCGAGCCTGCTAGTGTTCCACTAGACTGTCTAGAATAGTCTGTGGTTGTCATCCATACTCTGCTAGATGACGGGGCCATCGCTTGGGTCATCGTTTGGCTCATCGCTTTGGCTCATCGCTTAGGTCATCGCTTTGGCTCATCGCTTAGGTCATCGCTTTGGCTCATCGCTTAGGTCATCGATTTGGCTCATCGCTTAGGTCATCGCTTCGCACCATATTTTATCACTCATATATCATCGCTCATCATTCATCTCATCTTTCATCGCTCATCATTTATCTCATCTTTCATCGCTCATCATTTATCTCACCTCTAATCTACCCATGTTTTACCCAACACATTTTGTATATATAAAATACATATACAGTTTATATCATTTAAAACATGTATAAAACGTTTCATCCAGCATAGACAGCAAGTATTCAGACAGTATACACACATAGCACGTAATTTATATAAAATACTTCATATCTATGTGTAAGATGAAAGTAACTATGCACTCACCTGATTAGGTGGTGATTCTGAATTCGGACAACGCTTCGTTACTTCTTAAAACAATTTCCCTCGACAAAACCTAGTATCATTACCACTAGGGTTTAGCTCATTATTCACCGAGACTAATTAATAGTCTAGCTATTATTATTATTACATAAGCGTTAAGCAACACTCTTATACAAATCATAATAATAGTCCAAACAATTATTTTAAGGTCCTAATAACATTACTATATTAAAACATAAGCTATACTAAAGATAGGTTAGGCGTGGCTCGCTTACAACGGGTTTCCTTGGAAACCGGGCTCCGCCGGAGCAGAGTTTCTGAGCCGGAGGCTCTTCTCTTCGGAGCCGTCAGGCGCTCCGGGAGCCTCAGGGATTCCTTCGGGTGCTAGGGGGTTAACCTAGGCTTAGGGGGGGGGGTTGGGAG